GAAACGTCAGCCTCTCTGCTCCTATGATGCTGCTTGGCCTGCTGTGTTCATCCAACCCCTTGTCTGGGTAAAATAATTATATATTTATTGTGAACTATGTCCAGCTGTAGTCACAGTGCAAACTAATGTTTGATTGCATGTCAACAGGTAGAAAATAAACTAAATCGTGAACTGTTTTGGAGAAAACGAGAACAGTTTTTGATGTACCTTGTGTGAAAACAGATGGTATCTAATCTCTATAGCAGTAGTGTTAATTGTTTTAAAAATCTGAAAAGCTAAATCTTGCGCTCATGTCAATCAGACCATGACTTGAGGTCATTTAAACTTCTGCCTTGGGTATTCTGCAGACCTGCTTTGTTGTGCCTGTGGGCTCCATGTTAAGTTGAGATTCAGTACTATGCAACAGTGGAAGAGTAAGAGATGGTGTGGTTAGAGGACTACTTGAACGTTGTGCAGTAAATAATGGGGCAGCTTGAAGTTCAATGTTTCATTACAGTACTGGTTTGACTTTTGCTTATGTGGCCTCCACAGCTGTGCATTACAATTGAAATCTCATTTTTCTGTTTGGTGATTTGATGGATTAGGTCTGTGTTCAGCCAACCTATGGTGTATTATGTTGCATTGTTTTCAAGAATTGAGCACTTTGGGTTTACCAACACCAGATAAGGTGTAGCAGTTCGAGAAGGCAAGTAGCTACCACTTTCTGAAAAGCAGGTTAGGATGTGCAGCAAGTGCTCTGCTTTTGCAAGTGGCGCTGACATCCATGGAAGAATTTTAAAAAGTAACATTTAAAGACTTCATTTGTTTTTTAAAGTTGACATTTTGACAAAACAATCTCTTGCACAGCAGTTAAATTCTAATAAGATTAGCATTTCCTTAGTCTGTCCAAAGTTCCACTCACTCAGTGCCCACATATTTGTTTCCATCATGGTTTGCTGCATAGTAATTGGAGAAACAACTTCGGTCTACTGATGCATAGCCATTAGAAATGCTGAAATGCTAAACTTGGCTGTAGCATTCCCTTCAGTGACATCAAGATCAATTCTGTTATTGTGGTTGTCTCAGCTGAATTCAGCCATCTCAAAACTAGAATTATCTAAATTAGTACAACTGAACTACTCCAATGAATAAATTCAGCAAGCCAGAAGTAGAATTCTGTCAGTGCATGATAAACAGAACTGCTGAACAATTTTTTTAAAGTAGCTTGAAATAACTTACAATGAGCAGTCAAATGAGTAACAAACTGCTGTAGACATGTTTTCTGTTTTTTTTTTAAAAGACCTAGTTGAAGCACTGTAGTGCAATGCTGTTTTTGTTTTATTAAGAACAAAGCTGTACATATCTGGGGAAATTGGAGAAAGTAGGGATTTCCCTGAAACCTATTCAAAAAAGAAAGGTGGCTTAATCCAACTTTGATAAGAATTTATTAAAGGTACACGAATAGGCACGGAATAGAAAGATACAGACTGTGTTAGAGGCAAAAGGTTTGTAGTTTAGAAAGGTGTTGTTGATGCAGGCTTGATGGCCCAAAGGGCCTGTACTTGTTTAGTACTGTTCTTTGTATTTTTCAGTCTCTGTAGTGATGATATCAAGTGTATCATCTTCAATAATTGAACTTTACTTGGCTTTTAATGAAGCAAAATCATGTTTGCTGTTTATCTCAATGATTCAGTGTGCCGGTCACTCCTATGCTGTCCTCACTCTGTTCCCCACCTACATTGTTTCAAAGAAAATGCCCACTACAGGGTTTGCCTGTTTTGAAAATGTCATAGTCAATGCTCTCAAACAGAAAGTTATCCTGACCTCGTAAAACTTGGAGAATTTGTTTTTTTGGGGGCTTCCTCCGGCAATCTTTCCATTTGTTTTCACAACAGAGAGGCAGCTTCCATATGTAGGCATAGTCATTTATAAACCAAAGCCAGCATCCTTGCAGTTGCCAAAAGTGGGACAGCTTGCCTGGGAACCCTAGTTTTTATCACACTCCAAATCAATTGGAATCTCTATCATTTTCTGCTACCGCTCCAAAAGACTGTAAATATTGCATTGTTAGACCTTTGTGATTAGGAAACTTTTAGATTTATGTACTGATTTGATATTATGCAGAGACAGAAAGAGACAAGATTATCTATGGTAGAAGTAGTTAAGAATGTCAACTAACTGAAAAGTGAACCAAAGCAGAGAACTTGTATTAATGTCTGCGTGCCAAAAGAAGTAATTCATGTCGCTAGTTTTCAGGTGAACTTTGCAATGAATCTTCCTATGTAACCCATTCAATGATATTTAGCCGTAACTAATTCTAAAATTTTTACAAAAGCATTGCTTATTCTCCACCAAACAAAGCATCAAGGCACCAAACAATAACCAACTTGTACTTGTAACATGTTTTGACATATTAAAATGTCACAAATCAATCTACAAGAGAAAGGTTTGACATGGTGATGTGCAACGTAATATTAGGATAGAAAAGTGTGGTAAAAGAAGTACATTTTAAGGAACATCTTAGAGGTTTACCTTCCTACCTGAAGTGTAGAGGTTTCAGACCTGGGAAAGCACTGCCATCAATGATAGAATATTTAAGATGGCCTTGTATGAGAGGTCTCCATTGAGGGGGTATAGAGGTCTTAATGTTTAAAAACATTTGTATAGCACCTCCTAATGCAACAAGACATTCCAAAGTGCTTCACAGGAGCATTATAAAACAAAGTATGATACTGAGTTCCCAAGGGACATGTCAGGTTAGATGACTGCAGACATGGTCACAGTTGAGTTTTAATGTGCCTTACAGGAGAATGGTGAAGAAGCATGGGAGGGAGGGCCTAGCAACTGAAGGTACAGCAGCAATGATGGCGCAGTTCAAATTGGAAACATGCAAGAGGCCTGAATCTGAGGAGCATTGTTATCCTAGAGGGTTATGATGCTGGGGAGATTTGGAGGGGAGAAGCCATTTTGGGAACAAGAAAATTTTAAACAAAAACAGAAATTGCTGGAAAAGCACAGCAGCTCTGGCAGCATCTGTGGAGGGAAATCGGTGTTAAGGTTTCGGGTTGAGTGACCCTTCCTCAAAACAGTTCTCCACAGATGCTGCCAGGCCTGCTGAGCTTTTCCAGAAATTTGTTTTTGTTTATGATTTACAGCATCTGCAACTCTTTCGGTTTCTTTTAAGTGAAAATTTTAAAATCCAGTTACTACTTGATTAGGAAATGTAGATCAGTGAAGCCAGTTGTGATGCAGAAATGGGACTTCTTGCAAGTTAAGATGCAGGTAAATGATCTCAAGTTTGTAGAACAGTACAGCGCAGGAACAGGCCATTTGGTCCACTGCGTGGGAGACCAGTCAGGAGGATGTTGATTTACTTGATTGTAGAGTTAACAAAAACATGGATGTGGGTTTCAACAGGAGCTGAGCTGACATGGGGTTGGAGTCAAGCAGTGTTACGAAGAGATGGTGCCAGCAAGAAGCCAGGAGCTTTAGGAATTAAATGTGATACCAGGTGTTGTGGTGGCGGTGGCGGTCTGGAACCGGAGGCCTCAGAACGGATTTGAGGGGTTACTCAAATGGGAAAGAACGAAACCAGGGAGGAGTGTGAAAACAGGATTCATAATAGGAGGTATTATTGAACTAGGGGTCAATGTTAATGAACAGTGAAGTAAGGTAAATGTGACATGATGCAAGTCAGGACACAAGCAGCAGAGTTTTGGATTAGCAGGTATTCCTGCAGAATTGAAGCTGGAAGGTTGGATAGGAGAACATTAGAATAGAAACATCCAGAGGTTACAAACAAGTGATGAGAGTTTTAGCAGAAGATGAACTGAGGCAGGGTGAAGCCTGGTCATGTTATTGAGCTGGAAAGATACTACTTTTAAAGTGGATGTGGTCAGATATTAGTTTCTGGAACATATATGATAAAAGTTATGGACAGTTTTCTCAGTCTTGGACAATCCACTAGCACTTCCATCTGCTTGTTAATGTACCCTGCTGTCATATGTGTATGTACAGAATAGTAGGGGCATTCTTTAAAATTGTTGGTACTTAAACTTCTGCTATCAGCAGCAGCATCTCTTTCCATATAGTCCATATCTGCCCCCAAAAGCCTATTGAATATGTTTACAAGCTATAAAATTAACCCATCTTTTAGGCTCAGATTTGATATACCAGTGAACAGGATAAAGCTGGATGTTGGGTTTTATGCTAGAGTACTCCACCTGAAACATCTCCAAGCCAAACCTATAATTCTTGGTCAAAACAAGAAAAGAATTATTACTGTTTAAATCGGCAGCAGATATATCTTGCCGGTTTGCAACACTAAAAGTCCCGAGGGCAATTAGGAATTATTGTGTATACTGGCAATAGGTGCAACCAAGGCTTTCAGCATAGAAGTCAATGGTTATTTAAAAGGAAGAATGTGCAGGTTCATTGGGCCAGGTAGGAGAAGCTGCCGCAAGGCTGTAACAATTGCGATTCTGTGATGAGATGTGTGGATGATGGGAGAAAGAGATGCCTAATTTCTATCATGTTTTAATTAACTTCTAAGATCGGTTTCCAACAGAGCACATGCCCAAGGTTGTTATAATAACCATGTGTGCTGGAGAAACTCTAGGTTTGTCAGCATCTGTGGAGAGAGAGAAGCAGAGTTAATGTTTCGAGCCTGATGTGAAGTAGTCCTGAAGAAGTCATGTTGGACTTGACACAAAATAACTCTGATGTCTCCACAGATCCTTACCCAAGGATCATTGTCGTAGGTTATGGACTGTGTTGGAAAGCCAGCCATAGTTAACATGACTTCAATTGACAAATGGTGTTGCTGACATTTAGTGTAGCATGAGAGGATACTTACTTATTTGTTCAGCTTCCTTCCTGCCTTGATGTATATTTGATTTGGTTACATCCATTGTGCAGGCACGAGAGTTCTGGTATTTGAATTTGTCTTTTGTTGTAAAAAGTGTCCAACTGGTATTCAATTTTATCCTTGTGCGTAAATAAATAAAATACTTTATAATAGATTGTTGGCAGTTACAAACTAGTACAATTTTGCTCATCTTTGGCATTAGCTGTAGGATTTCTGCAGTTGACTGCAACATTCTGGAGTTAGACTTTGTGGCAGGCAGTTGATGAGAGAAGGACGGTCAATCTGTTCTAGCACCTATGGAAATGATATCCGAAGTATTGAGAAGAGATGAAAATTGAAAGCAAATTTTGTTTTTCAGAAAGGTCAATGTAAAATGTATTGATCAAGAATGCGACTAACAGGTGAAAAAGAGAGAAGTGGAAAATATTGAGAGAACAATTAAATTAAATAAGTTTAACAGCAGCAAAAGAGAATCAATACTGAACTAGTCAACTTACTTGTACCTACCTCCAGTCTAATGCCAAGATGTCTAATTTTGAAAAATGTCCACAACCCTCAACATGTTTTTGCCAATTTTACAACGTTACAATTACAAATTCGCAAATACAGGGGAAGACTTTTCTAAGTTTGCACAGAAAGACTTCAAGAAGGACTCATTTGGAGAATAAACAGTTGCATGATCTGTTGGGTCAAATGGTGGTTCTACCCTTTCATGATGAAGTTTTGTTTAAAAAAGAATTATGATCACACAAGTTAACCTTAGCAGTGAAGTATTGCTTCTCTCTATATCCTCCAGGGGGTGCCAGTATCATCCAGTGTCATATACTGAATGACAAGAGACACATAGTGACCAAAGATACAAACAACATTGTGGCATTCTGGGATGTACTGAAGGTGAGTCCAAATTTAAACTGGAGAGTTGCTCAGAGGGTGTTCATAACCTAATGTTTTTATCTGAAGAACAGATTACGAAATAATCTTCCTCCCTAATGAAGGAAATGGAAATGGTTTATAATAGGCTCTCATCAGCCTGATCTGCATTGCAACAGCACGACTTAATTCAGTGTTAGAATGGACATTAAAGTAATTCCTATGCTGCCTTAAAATTCATTTTATAATTTGGTAAAGGTTGGTGACTCACACTGTGAAACATGGCACGGACAAGTTACGTAAATGAACTGAGTGTAAAATGAGTTTAGCCACTCAAAAATAATCTATTTTCTGCTTGAGCTGTTCCCTGACACATTCTGCGCTCCAAACTTGTTAAGCTGGTTGTCTTTGAGTCACTAACATTTGCTGTTTGAACACAACCTGTCTTACAACCTGAATACTTCAGCTGTTTATATATTTTTTAAAAATCATAATTTGAGCTTTTACAGTTCCTTCTGCTTCGTGTCAGCAACTGATCTTTTGGACTAAAAGCCAAGCATTCCCCTGGGGAAAAAGAGGCAGCAGAATTAAATGATGTATTAATTTTAAGTGAATACAGGCTGGCGGCTTTTGTTGTTGCATGGCATGACTCATCTTGGAGTGATTCATATTAGTTTGGTTATGGCTGAAATGTCATAGTCACATAGCTTGGAAACAGACCCTTCAGTCCAACTAGTTTACGCCAACCATGTTCCCAAACTAAACTAGTCTTGCCTGCATTTGGCCCAAATCCCTCCAAACTTTTCCTGTTCATGTACTTACCTAAAAGTCTCTTAAATGCAGGAACTGTAGCTCCATCCACGACATGACATCCCCTGGCCGTTCATTCCAAACATGAACCACTGTGTGCAAAAAAAAAGTTGCCCCAATGTCCTTTTTTAAAACATTCTCCTCTCACCTTAAAATTATGTCCCCTAGTTTTGAACCCCCCCCACTCTGCCACATCAGTCTAGGGAAAAGGCACTTGATATTCACCTGTTCCATGCCCCTCATAATTTTATAAACCTCTATAAGGTCACCCACCCCTCGACCTCATATACTCCAGTGAAAAAAAGCCCCAGCCTATCCATCTTATTTTTGTGACTCGAACCCTCCATTCCTGGCAACATCCTGGTAAATATTTTCTGAACCCTCTCCAATTTACTAATGTCCTTCCAATAGCAAAGTGACCAGAATTGTACACAACTCTATAGATGAGGCCTCAACAATGTCCTGTGCAACCTTAACAAGGCTTCCCAACTCCTATACTCAAAGGTCTGAACAATAAAGGCAAGCGTGCTAAATGCCTTCTTAACCACCCTGTCTACCTGTGATGCAAATTACAAAGAATTATGTACCTGAACCCCCCTCGCTGTTCTACAACACTACCCAGGCCCTTAATTGTCTAAGTCCTACCCCTATTTGTTTTTCCAAAATGTGATACCTTGCATTTGCCCAAAGTCAGAAGTCACACGACACTAGGTTATAGTCCAACAGGTTTGTTTAAAATCACAAGCTTTCAGAAGATGTGGAGGTGCTGGTGTTGGACTGGGCTGCTCCTTCGTCAGCTGAAGTGACTACCCCAGTCCGACACCAGCACCTCCACATCTTTGTATTTATCCAAATTAAACTTCATCTGCCCCTCCTCAGCTGATAGACCTAATTGATCAAGATCTCTTTGTAATCTTGGATAACCTCCTTCACTGTGTCACTAATTTTGGTGTCATCCACAAACTTACCTTCCACAAACAAACCATGTCTTCTGTATTCTCATCCAAATATAAATGACAAACAAAAGTGGGCCCGGTACTAATCCCTGTAGAACACTATTGGTCACAGGCCTCCAGTCCCAAAAACAACCCTCTTCCACCACCCTCTGTCTTCTCCTGTCAAGCCAATTTTGTAAACAGTTGGCAAGCTCACCCTGAATCCCATGTGATCTAATTTTACTAATTAGTCTACCATGCATAACCTCATCAAAGGCCTTACTAAAGTCCATGTCAACAGCATTTACCACTCTGCCATCATCAATCCTTTTGGTTACTTCCTTAAAAAACTCAACCAAGTTTGAGACACAAATTCCCTCGCACAAAACTCTGCTGACTATCCCTAATCAGTCCTTGCCTCTCCAAATGCATCTAAATCCTATCTTTCAGAATCACTTCCAACAACTTACCCACCACTGGCAGGCTCAATGGGAATGTTCAGTTTTATTCTGCAGGAAAATGATTTGTACATTCCATACCACAATCTCAAGAGGTCTAATTTGCTATTTATGTATAAGCTGTTAGCACTAGCCCAGTATTACTCTACTGATTTAACAATGGTATGTCAAGTTCCAATGGAGCATAAACACTGACAGCAACCAGTTGGACCAAAGTCCCTGCTGGTGTTGCAAATTTTGTAACATGCACACCACCTCGTACTACTGAATATCTATATCAGTGCTAGGACCCTGCCTTGTTTTTTAAACACCAACTTGGGATCATTTTAGCAGGGGTAGGAAGAAGTAACAGACTCAGTGGCATAGTTTTAAAGAATATGCAGGGACAGAGTAACCTACGGTTTCATGCAAATAGATCTTTGAAGGTAACATTCTTTTTTTAAAAGTTAGACTATATGCATAGGAGCAGAAGTATCAGTCAACCATTTGCTTCATCGAGTCTACACCACCAGTCAATGAGATCATTGCTGATTTGATAATCCTCAACTCCACTTTCCTGCCTTATCCCTATAACCCTCAATTGCCTCACTGATTGATTGATTGTTTCATGGATGTGGGTGTTGCTGTCTAGGCCAACATTTGTTGTCCATCCTTGTGGGATTTTGGACTTGGAAAGATGTGAGTATCCTTGGCAGTGGAGGAAATTTACTAGAATGTTTGCAGGGATGAGGGGTCTTTGCTGCAAGGTTATTTTGGAGAAACTTGGGTTGCTCTACTTGAACCAAAGGAGATTGAGTTGATTTGGTGGAGGCATACAAGATGAGAGAACTTGGTAAGGTAGAAAAAGGAAAGTTCTTCCCATTATCTGATGATAAAAGCACTTGGAGAGACAGACTTGAGGTTTTAGGCGAGAGATGCTGAGAGAAACGAGGAAGATAATTTTTATGCAGTGAGTAGTAATGAGCCACTGCGTGTGAAAATGCGAATCATTGAGCATCTCAGCTTTCACCAAAGGAAATTGGATGAGTGCTTAAACTTGCAAGGCTACAGAGATAGGACAAAGGTAGTGGAAATGACTGAATTGCTTGGCAAAGAGCCAGCATAGATTCAGTGGGCCAAATGGCTTTCTTTAATGCCATTATGATTGTGCTGGACACCCTGAATGACACGGCTAATTTTCATTAAATTCATTATTTATAGAATAAAAATACATAGACACACACGCACACAGATATATATGCTGCTTGCATTTTCCCCTGACTTTAGTTGATCCTGAACAAATTCAATGCTTTTCCATTTTTACAACACAGTTAACAGATTGTAGTCCTCAAAGCAATGGCTGAAGATCCCGGAATCTCATGCAATACTTGATTGATTCAGTTCTCATGAACCCCCTGAGAGAAGTATTCCTTGACACTTCCCTACTTGACCCTAAATTGCAAGACTGACTGAGTTGCTAGGAGTGTGGTTGAAAGTCAACCACACTACTGTGGATCTGGAGTCCTAAGTAGGCCAGACCAGGTGATGACAGATATCCTTATCCTAAGAACATCAGTGAACCAAATGGGTTTTTAAACGGCAATTGGTAATGGTTGCCATTGTCATCGTTACTGGAACTGTCCCAAATTTATTGAATTTGGATTCCACTAGCCACTATGGTGTGAACCCATGTTTCTAACATTAACCAGAGCCTGTGGATTACTAATACAGGCGCATTACCAAGATACTACAGTCTTGCATTTCTTGCCATCAAATGATGATTAAAAACGCATTCCAGTCAGTTTATGAAATTACTTACTTTTATAAAGTGCCTTGTGTGACACCAATGAAAGGCTTTTTGAAGTGCTGTCACTGTTGTAATGTAAAATATTGCAGCATCCAACTCGCCCGCACAATTTCCATGGTGACCACTTAATTTTTTTAAATGTATTAACTGACGGACAAATACCAGTTGGACACAGGGGAGATAACTCTCCTGCTCCTCTTCAAGATAATGCCATGGGATATTTTATTCCCACTGAGAGCACAGGCAAGGCCTTTGTTTAACATCTGATCTGAAAGACAGTACCTCCAAATGTGTAGTACTCCACTTCAGTACTGCAATGGAGGGCCATTGTTGGTCCATAAGGTGCACACTGACAATTGGTTTCAGTTTCTTGATTAAAAACATTGTGTGAAACTGCTTCAATTTTGTGTAAATGACATTGCTGAATTTTGGGCAGTTACGTTCTACTCTCACACATCGAGACCCCAAGATCTGCCACTAATCCTCCAAAAGGAAAAAAAAATTAGTCGATATCTTGAGTGATTTGTGTCCAGAATTTAAATAAGAAGTGACAATGATTCCATACAGTGTATTGACCAGATTCCAATGACTGCAGTAACTGGTCCATTAAAATAGATATTAGAATATTGGAAATAAAACTGATAAATTCTCCTTCAGGCTTGCAAGGTGGAAGAGCTTGGGAAAGTAGAATTTGATGAAGAAATTAAGAAACGGTTCAAAATGGTTTATGTGCCAAACTGGTTCTCCGTGGACTTGAAAACAGGGGTAAGTTTGCTCTTCTGTTTTCTTTTTCCTAGTTGTTTCAGAATCCCACTATTTTTTCACATTGTGTGATGATGTTCTGCTGACAACACTGCATTTATTGACTTTCTTGAGTTGCCCTGCAAAGGGGTCAAGCCTTTTCTTGGAACTATCACGATTCCGGTCCTTCCACCATGGCAAACCTGGGATTTTGTGTCTTACGGTGAAGTAATTGCGTTACATGCCCAAGTTGATGTGGAGCAGTTTAGAATTGATCTTGGAAATGAAATAACTAAATGTTGGTGAATAAATTCTCAGACTGTGTGTTGTACAGACGTAACAAGGACAATTTGCTCAATATAATTGTTTGATAAGCTGCCTTAAGAGAACAGTCGTAGTCTAGTTTTAGCAGAACAGGGCAAACCAGTTTTTAATCAGCCCGTCTTCTGTTGAGAAATCTGTATCAATCTTTCTCGTAGTGAAAATTGGTCGTCTCCTCCATCTTACTTCACCTACAATGTACTCAGGATAATCATTTTCTGACTTGGCCTTTATGCATCTATAGAGAGAGGTTGACTATCTAACCTGCTATGAATTTCCACTATTTGTATATTTTTTCTTTCCTCATTTACGGAATGAGGGTGTCGCTAGCCAGGCAGCATTCATTGCCCATCCTTAATTGCCCAGCGGGCAGTTCAGAGTCAACCATGTTGCTGTGGGTCTGGAGTCAAATGTAGGCCAGACCAGGTAAGGATGGCAGTTTCCTTCCCTAAAGGGCATTAGTGAACCAGATGGATTTTTCTGACAATCGACAATGGGTTCATGGTCATCATTAGACTGTTAATTCCAGATATTTATTGAATTCAAATTCCACCATCTGCCTTGGCTTAATTCGAACGCGGGTCCTCAGAACATTATTTGGGTCTCTGGATTAACAGTCCAGCGATAATACCACTAGGCCATCGTCTCCCCTGATATCAGATTACCAGAATTTGGGATTGCTTCACCCATCACCCTCCTCCAAAGCTTCCTTTATGAAATTGGTGACAAAATAGGATAGCTTCTGGAAAATTGGTTTCTAAATTTATATCGGTTCAGATGCTGAAATGTGGGAACATTTAATGCGTGGTTTATGTTTGTAGGTGTGGGCCATTCTTGTACACATCCTGCCAGCGTAATATGTAGCTTCCATTCTACAATTGAAACAAGTAATCTGATAAGTGACAGACATTATCAAAAAAAAGTTTAGTAGTTAGACGTGGATGCTTCATTGCTGGAGAAGAATTTTTGAATGTCCTTGACTTTTAGAAATACTTTAATGTAAAACCACAAACTTGCGTTACCATGTTCCTGATGATTTTGAAGCCACTATTGTTTTATCCTTCAATGTTACATTCCTGTCATGATGGGTTCATTTTAAAGAATGTGAACTGATATTGCTTACTTTTAGGAGGGTGTAACAGTGGCAACTTATTTACAGTATGTGAATCCAAGAACATTGTACCAAAATGTGGTTTAACAAAACATTGTGTTTTTTTCAGTATGGCATTTTTTCTAAATCTGTCTTTGTGCCAATCTCCAGATCTGTGATAAAGCCTGATAGTTAATTTTCAGAATTTAATCTTTTCTATTGTTGCTTTTTTTTTCAGTTTCTTAGCTTTTTTTTTTCTAAAAATTCTGACTTTCCAGAAGAACCGATCATCTACATTTTCTGAAGTACACAATTGCCCTTTCAAGTGCTTTTTCATCAACTACATTGACAGACAGGACTGTAAATTATATCTCATACCCTGTCTTTTGAATTGTGATTTTCATATTAAAAAGAAAATCTGATTGTTTAGCAACCTGCAAAATACTGGGTTGTACTGGTCCCAGAACAGTTAAGTGAATTTGGGGATGATTGATTTCCCTGTTGTCTAATTGTTCAATGAAGCCCTTGCTGTACATTTTAAAGGAGGTAGGTTTAGAACAGTGATGTAGAGGGAGGTTAATATGTGGGAAGACAATGGAGGAAATGCTTGGCTGAGGACAAATTACGATATTGCAACTATCCATTTTATTGAAAGCAGTCAAATAGTTTACAGCTTGTCTGTAAACTAATTAAATATTCAGCAATGAAATATTGCTGCAACTTGGTATTTGAACTATATTACACAAGACAATGATCATTGGCCCTGTCATGACTTTGACTGTAGAAATAGGGCGACCAGATTTCCACCATCACAATCATGTAGAGTTGATTCTAGCCTCGTTGTTATACCTTGTCATTGCTGTTTCTGTCCTTTAACACTTGATTATTACACTTGAGTTGCTCCCTTAAGAATTGCAACTTTTCTAAAACTTAAGCTGACTCCTTGTTTAATCCCTATTTATTAGTTCTACTTCCAGACCCTTTGACACACCTTGCTAAAACCCAAGCTGCAAAAAAAACCCCTTCTGCAATGGTTCCGGGCTCAGCAATTTGCAGTATTCATCATGGCTTCCGCCAACGCTCTCGTCTCTATCCAACATCTTCAACTGTACCCCAGAAAAAAGTGGAACAGTGCAAGCTTAAGCATATCACTGGATTTTAAAGAACAAACTCTTTAAGTTATCTTGGAATTCAAACGATATTTGTTTTGGATGTGTCGGAGTTGCATTCAGTTTATTCAGTCAGTGTTTCTGTCAGAATTATATCCAGTGTAAATGTTGTTTTACCAGCGTGTTCCAGGTTCTTGGACTGTGACTTTCACACTGCTCCAAGATTAATGGTTATGGCGTCATTACTTTGAAGTTTATTGAGAAATAGCTTCGAATGGAGTACCAAGAAATCATGTAGCCAGGGAACATTATTAGTAAAAATACCTAGACAAGAGATAAAGAGCAAAGCTCAAGTGTGGTTATCAGTGCTGCTGTGATAGCTGTAAAGCTGTGCAGTTTTTCATCGCAGCAATTAGTTGTCTAAATTTGTGTTTGTGTTCTGTTTCTTTCTGGTAGATGTTGACAATTACTTTAGATGAGAGTGACTGTTTTGCTGCCTGGGTGTCAGCGAAGGACGCTGGATTTAGCAGCCCAGATGGATCCGACCCAAAACGTAAGTGGCTGATGGTAAGACTGAACCTAGGGTGGTGAACAATACCACTTCATCTTGAACCTTGACAGTCAGTATAAAAGCTGGCTTGGCTTACCGCAAAATGGACGTTGAAATGGTAAGCCAATTTGCAGAATGAAGTAGTATTGCAGAAAAACATCTATTAACTTAATAATGTGGCGCTCGTTCAATAATCGCAGCAATCTGCCTGAGGACAGTTCCTCGGCTCCTTTCTCCATACCTCACAATCCTGCAATTTCCTCTTCAGCTCCTAGCAGGAGCCTCCCAGTTTCGATTCCAATGAGCAATTTGACAAGGGAACAAAAGTACATGTTGTTAATTCCTAAATATTCATCTGGAAATGGATGTAGCTGGAGCCAGTTGGTCTTCCACAATCTTCAGTCCCTAAGTGCAGACTGCTGTTCTCTTCTATAGACCAGTTCCCTTCCCCAGTTAAAACCAGTTCTAAAATATGTACAGCAATTAACATTAGCTGCTTTTAATCATATTAGCTCATATCCACACTATATGACTCCATTTGCAGCATAAGTACTGTTGCATTGTTAATTTGTGTGCTGATGGTAACACCAATCCTCTTCCTTAACATAGCTCTACCTATAAGTAGTCATTTTCCCTCAGTGTTCTAATTTTGCCCCATCACCAAAAGTTTGCTGCTTCTGCCATTGGACATGCCTTGTAACCCTGAGCTGTGAACCTCTGCCTGAAGTGGCTCAGAAAAGGGCAGAGATAGCCTCACTCTTAGGTCTCAAATGATTTTGCTACCCTAATTCCAACAATATTAATTTCATAAAGTGGATAAATGTATTTTAGAGTTGTTCTTTAAAAGCTTGTTTGTTTGGTCCTACATTTTGTTTCATGTTTGCTCTTTGGAACTTAAAACTTGGAACTTAGTAGCACAAAACTGAAAAGATAAGCTCCTGTTGAGGCAGATTCTAGCTGTCCATGAGTTTTAATGTCCATTATTCGTCTCAGTCAAACATTGATTTGCTTCAGCAGCCTATGTCTCTGCTGTTACTGGTTAGATGGATAAGTAATCAAAAAGTGTCATTGAGCTTTGAAGTTTTTTTTCCATAACCATATATATGCGCTTTCACTTTGTGTCTCTCTTAAATTGGTAGACCCTTGCTTTGCGAAAGTGCAATCTTTAAGGACTCCGTAAAACTGAGGCATCTGTCAGAGCTGTTGGCGATGCACTGATAACTTGTATTTCAACTGAAAGTAACACTGACCCAAAGAGCTCAAATTCCTTGTTGCTTATTCGTGCTGGTGAAGTATCGTGTGTTATAGACATGCAGCTCGGAATTGAATAATCTGAATTTTCTTCGTGGTTTAATGGCTGAAAACAACCAAATTGCTTTGGTTCTATTTTAACCCAGAGCCAACATGTACTGGCTTGTCGAGTAGAATCCAAAGTGAAAGACTAGATTTATGAGTCTTATAAAAGAGATTATAATATTTAGACTTGCCAATCCTGTGCATTTTAATTTCTTGTTATTTAGTTAAATTATCAGTGTGCCTGTTGTTATAATTACTGAAGTTCTAACTGGAAAGGAAGTGCTGACCTTGTTACTTGACATTCACAAAAGCATTGATACAAAATCAACTTTCCTTCTTTTAAATTTTTTTAACACCAAGCACTTTACTAATGATCAACTTAAGCTTGAGTGCTATTGCTATTCATTGGATGTGGGTGGCACTGGCAAAGATGCATTAATTGCCCATATAAAATAAAGCAAAGAACAATACAGGTACTGGAAATCTGAAACAAAAACAGAAACTGTTGGAGAAACTCAGGTCTGGCAGCGTCTGTGGAAAGAAAGTAGAGTTACCGTTTCGAGTCCAGTGATCTATCCACAGAATGGCTCTGAAGAAGGTTCACTGGACTCCAATCGATAAAACTGCTTTCTCTCTGTAGATGCTGTCAGACCTCCTGAGTTTCTCCAACAGTTTCCGTTTTTGCACTAATTACCCTTCCCTGGTTTTTCCAAGGAATTTGGTTAGCCAATTGTCATTTGGAAGTGTCGTAATTTCTACCATGATAGTGCTCCCACTTCAGTGTTTAATATGGATATTCATATTGACCTAACAACAGACTACAAGTTCTGCTTCTAGGTTGTGAGACCTTGGAGATGAACCTGTTAGTAAAGCAGTTCCATGATATTTGGCTTATGTCCACTTTGGCCATAGAGTTTGAAAGAGAGCTAGATGTTACGAATGTAACTTTGGCAAGTTATTACAGTGTGTCCTATATATTGTACATACTGCAGTGACAATGCCTTGGAGATGAAAGGATTGGATTTGAAATCCACGGAAGTAATAATTCCAGTTGAGAAGAAAACATGTATATTTTGAAAGGGTAATGAGATAGGGATAAATTCCTTTTTGTAGGAGAATTAGTGGTGTTACCAACTTGAAATTGTCAGTGTTCATCTGGGAGGAGTGCGAGAGGAAATTTAATAACTTAAATGGCTGTCTGAACACAACATGCTTTGCTTCAAGCAATGTTTGGGAGATTTTTAGTGGGTAATGTTTCAAGAAAAGGAAGATTCGGAGTTATGGGAAAAGAGTACATCAGTGAGATTGGGTTTGGATTTCTCGAGAGAAGGACCTGGTCAGTGTGATAGGCTGAATGTTTGTCTCCCCTGCTGCACATCCCATCTGTGGTTCCTTGGGTAAACAATTAATGTAACAATTTACTTTTACTATATTCTTCCAAAACTAAATTAGCAAGAGAAAATTTCCGAGTAATATTTGAGATTAACTACATAGCAAAGAGTATAAAGGAGAATTGGATAGATATTTGAGGGAGTATGAGATTGAATGCTAAGAGTTTATATACAAATGAACTGCCTTGCCTTTCTGGTCCTGTACTTGTCAAGACTCTTGAACTGCTTCTTAACAGCCTTAAACTAGGAGTTGTTCTGGATGCCCTTTTCTGCATTTCTTCCCAAAGTCTATAAATCCTTTGAGTTCGTATGTAAAAGCCCTACATAAGGCTGTGAGAGAAGTTATACTAGAAGGAGAAAATAAATCCACAAATGCTGACAATGTGAAAAATGACCAGAAAACACCAATTGTATTTGTATATCTCCTTTACTGAAATAGAATATCCTTCCAGAGGAAACCTTAACACCAAAGCAGTATTATGGTACATTCCAAAAGCTTGGCCAAAGAGGTCGATTTTAAGGAGGGTGTTAAGAAAAAAAAGTGTGGCAGTTTAAGCATGGTAATTCCAGACCTTAGGACCTTGGCAGCTAAAGGCAAGGCCAGCAATGGAGCAGTTAATATCAGGGATGCCGAAGAGCGTTGCTACGAAGGAGGTCTGTGAGGCTGGATTTAGAGAAGGGTGAGGCCATGGAGAGTTTGGAAAACAAAGATGAGAAATTTAAAGTATTTGTGTTACTTCAGCAGGAGCTAGTGATGATAAATGAGCGCAACCATATTTGGTCAATAGGTTGATACAAATAGAGCTTAGGCTAACCAGGTTTTACGAAGAGAGGAATCTGGGAAGTCAACAGGAGTTTGTTGGATTAGTCAAGTACAATTGTAACTGATATTGATGTGGGTTTCAGCAGCAGACAGGCTAAGATGAGGGTGGAGGCAGACCATCTTAAAGCACAGTCTTGTGTTATCTGTAATCGCAGTTAAGTGGTTGGAAACTCATTTGATTAAACTTGACCTCATAAATTGTGAATCATCTAACTGAACGTGAAAGAATTGCGAGGTGGAGTGATGGAATCTAGCTCGGGAACTGATTTTATGGAACTGAGGCAATTTCTCCAATCTTCCATTATTTAATTAGAGGAAATGTCTGTCAATCCATCAGAAATCCCTTGCAAGTGATTCTCTAGCTACGTTTTGAATCGAGCCAGACAAGCATGCTCTCACTCAGAAGGTGGAGTAGATGGAATAGAGTGGTTCACCATGGATTGCAATAGAGAAAAGAAAAGCCAGAAAATATCAAAATGACACTGGGTGACTGAATAAATTGAGGGGAATATAACCTTTTGATGCGTTGCATTAGATACAGCAACAAGGGCAGCATTCATTGCCCAGTCCTAGTTGACTTTGTGAATGTAGTGATCAGCTGCCTACATATCCACATTATTGCAGAAAAATAGGTTTGAATGTATGATTCGCCTCTTCCTTTCCTTTCCTACCTCACGGTCGATTATCGGTCTCAGTCAGGACACTGAAGTTGTGTCTACAGCCAAACGAGATCCAGGAGAAAAAGTCACTGTTTGTCTATTTGAGACTGGATATTGGCCATAGATTGTGGCTGAGGGAGACATACTGACTATGGCGAATGATGGAGGAGATGGCTACTTTTAAATAGAGAGGTTCCTCCGCTGAGTGTCTTGAGTATTTTCTGTTTCTTTGGAGATAAAACCTTTCAGTGAAAGGTTGGCACTGAAATGCCTGAGAAAAAATGTTGTGATGTTTTATAGACAAATTGCTATTTGCCTAGGATTGATTTTGAACTATGTAGACAGTTTTTAAAAAGTCATATTTTGTTAGTAATTTATGAATAAATTCATTTCCTGTAATAAGCCAATAGAGTTCTTGCTACTAGTGTGACACTTTCTTAAAACAGTAAATATAAATTTATCACATCAGCGAAACTAAATATCCAAATAGTCATTGTATCAGCCTATTGCAGGAAGCCAAATAAACAGAACAGCAAGAATGACTGTGACATGTCTAAGGGTTCAGGAGCTGATTTCACTGCTGTGATGACTTTTTAACTGTTTGTTTTGGTTTTACTTTAATTTTAGAAAGTTAGCCAAATTTCATTAGATTGATACATTATATCTTTGCCTTATAAGGGACTGAATTGTAGTCAAAAGATTTTTGCTCAGTTTTATATAATGTACAAGTAGTACATTATAATGCTGAAGAAAAGAGATGCAGTCAACGCTTTTTTACCTTGCATTCATCAGGGTAGGCTCAAGAACACGAACTTCCAATCAGAGCAATAATTT